ACTTGTATGTGACTCCAGTGTGAACGTTAAACGACCCGAAAGTGTCCCGCATGTGCACTGGAGACACGACGACGTCAACCACAGCGAGCGTGATCTGTGTTTACGGAAGTTGTCCAAACACTGACGTGAGCATCGAGCACCTGGAGATTTTAAAGTTCCTCTCGTACCGGAGCCAGAACATGAACAACTTACTTGTTTTAAGGAGGAAGATTGAGAAGGAGAAGGACGAGGTTTTTGGTCCGTGGTGTTTTGTGGGGCAGCGGCAGCGACGTCCGTTGAAAGGAACGTGTGGATGTGGAGACGGAGCCAAGAGTGGTGAGTGGAGATGTGCTTCGCTTCAGTGACACGGAGTTCATTAACAGAATAATGACATTTGTCACTTGTTGATAACGTGTAGGTGGATGAATGCGCTTTGGCCGTTCAGACTGAAGTCGCATGTCAAAAGATCAGATATGTATCAGTTTTAGGAGCACATATCCAAGTGTCCTGAGACACATTTGAAAAAATCGGATCTGTGTCGTTCAGACTGTCATTAAAAGATCAGATACAGGTCACATTGGGGCCAAAAAATCTGATTTGGGTCACTTCAGGCTGCAGTCTGAACGCAGCCTTACAGACACAGAGACGCCTCTCCACAGATCTGACCTGTTTCTTGGCCTAGTATCGTTTCTCTTGATCGTCACGGACATAGACGAGTTTAAAGCTTTACGAAGAAAAGCAGTTGGCGGAAACTCCACGAAAAATGTTACACGTTTAAAGTTCATTCACAGAGTAAAAACGGGAGAACGGAGCAGCAAAAAAATCAACAAACTGAAGCGACTTTCAGCGGTGTCAGAATCTGTAGATGAAGTTGTGTCATTTTTTTTTATAAGTGGGTGAGGAACGAGGAGAAAGAGAAAAAACAGGAGATCAACACTCCAGCTGCTCCAAGGTTTCGCTTCTGTTCCTCTGTGACGGACGACAAAAACAAACACGAGCTTCCCAAAAAAAACAAACGAAATAAAAAAGTGCAGGAGACGAGGCCACGAAAAGAAATAAAAACACCACACCTGAGTTATTCAAACAGAAAGACACTCGGAAAACTGAAGAGGAGAGAGAGAGAGAGAAGGAAAGAAAGAGAGAGGAGGGATGACGGTAGATAGAGAAAAAGAGCGAGAAAGAAAAGAGAAAGAAAGCAACGGGGGGTGGTAGAGAAGAGAAAAAGAGCAAGAGAGAACGAAATAGGGAAAGAAGGAAAGAAGGAAAGAAAGAAAGAGAGGAAGGGAGGATGATGGTAGAGAGAGAGAGAAATACAGAAAGAAAGAAAGAAAGAAAGAGGAGGGGGAGATAGATAGAGAGAGAACGAAAGAAAGGAATAGAAGTGGGATGATGATAGATAGAAAGAACGAAAGAGAGGAGGAAAGAAAAGAAAGAAAGAAAGATTGGGGTAATTGTAGATGGAGAGAAAGGAGAAGAAGGAAAAAAAACAGAAAAAGAAAGAAAGGGGAAGATCATAGATGGAGAATGAAAGGAGGAAAGAAAGAGAAAGAAAGAAAGAGGAGGGGTGATGGTAGATAGAAAGAGAACGAAAGAGGAAGGAAAGAGAGAGAGAGAAAGAAAGGAATAGAAGGGGGATGATAGATAGAACGAAAGAGAGGAAGAGAGAAAGTAAAAGAGAGAAAAAGAAAAAAGGGGACGATCGCAGATGGAGAGAAAAAGAAAACAAAAGAGGAAGAAAAAAGAAAAGAGAGGAGTGATGATAGTAGAGAGAAAGAAAGAAGTGAAGAGAGAGAAGAGAAGAAGAAAGAGAAAGAAAAAAGAAAGCGAGAGAGGGGGATGATGTAGATAGAGAGAAAGAGCAAGAAATAAAGAGAATTAAAGAGAAAGAAAGAACGAAAGAAAGAACGAAGAAGAAAGAACAAAAGAGCGAAGAAAATGAAAGAAAGATGACAGTAGATAGGGAGAAAGAGAAAAAAGAGCAAGAGAGTAAGAGAGAGAAAGAAAGAAAGAAGGAAGGAAAGAAAGAAAGAAGGGATGATAGTAGATAGAAAGAGCAACAAATAAAGAGAGAAATGAAGAGAGAGGGAAATAGAGGACAGAAAAATGTGTGAGGGAAAAGGAAAAGAGAGGAGAGAAGAAAAAAAAAAAGATAGATGGAGAAAGAGAGAGAATTAGACGGAGATAGGCCAAAGGGAGAGGAGAGAAAAACAGAGGAGGCAGATGAAGAGACAGAGAGAAGAAAAATGAAAGGAGACAAGGAGTGATATGTGAGAGAGAGAGAACGTATGAGAAGTATGAGAGAGGGAGAATATTTGTGTTATTCATTCATCAAGACTATTTATCTTCTAATTATAGAGAATCCATCATTTTTACAACGAAACGACCAAAAAAATGAACTTGCGGTGAAAGAAAACGCCAAAAGTTCCACCTTGATGCAGACGTCCACATTTGGTTTAAGGTGAAGAAAATATTTTAAAAACCAAAACCACAAAAGATGTTATTACAAACTTAAAATAAATGC